CTATATATATATATATATATATATATATATATATATTTTTATTATATATATATATATATAAGTAAGGAAGAATGTAGGATTGATTGTTCTAAAATAGTTCGTAGTTGCAGAAGCAAAGCAAAAAGAAATTTATGAAAGGTGCAGTTGCATTATTGATCGGGGAACGGAAAGGGTTCATGATGGCGGAAAAAACGTAAGCCGATGTTTAAATGGAAATTGGGATAGAGGAGGAAAAATGTAGTATGGTAAATAAATGAACCTGACTGAAGTCTTAAATATACCCTTATTATAATGTAATAGAGGTTTCAGTAATGCCTTGAATTGGGTTGAAATTATTGCGAAATTCAAAATCTCAGAAATTTTCGAATAGGAAATCCGATCGTCGCAGTTGTTTTCTGTGACTCTTCCTCCCGTTCTAGGTTTTTTTCAGATATTTGGCAGGACCATATTGTCTTACTTTTGGTGCTTTGGAAATCAATATCAATGCTTTGTCTTATTCATGGACTTTTCTTCCTTCTGACCCTTTGCGAAAAATGGCGCTATTAGTTTTCGTGTGATTAATGATGAACTACTGATAATTCTTATGTAAACGTTTCTTATATTGTGTTTCTGCTATTTTTGTTTTGTTGACATCTCTTCGTGCTTTTGATGTGTCAGTCATTCGTCCATTTCTATTTCAACTTTTGGTTATTTACAGAAAAGTGAGAAATTTTTCGATTTCACCCATACCTTCTTCGGATTTGCTTTCTGAGTACTTCCAGCACGATTAGTCTGAATATAAATGAATCTTTGAGATTAGCAGATTTAAATTGCCGAGCTTTTTTCTAGTGAGGAAAGAGTTTATGGACAACAGTGAATGATTTCTGTTCAACCAATGTACTATTGGTGAAGGAGAACCGAATGTTAAGTGATGATTCTTTTTGATATCTCTTTTTACCCATTCGTGCTTTACAGAATTTCACAACTTCATACCATTCTGGTTCAAGTAATCAAAACTTAATTAGTAGAAAGCTAAATCAAGCAACTGATAAATTTGCTTCTTGGTTATGTTGATCGCTTGCTCGGATCGATAAATTCCTTTGATGTTCTAATTTTTGATGGTCACACCTCTATCGATTATTTAGACTTTCCCATTTTGAAAGGATAGCTCTTCCATTCCACTGCTGTGTTAAGCTTAAGTTGCTTGAGTAAACAGAATGCATCGGAATGTTTGTAATACTATTGTATTGATAATATTGGCTGTCATTTTGATTGAGCTTGATGTTTAAAGAGTGATTTCATAATGAGTACATTGTGTATACTTTACTTAACTATTGATAATTCTTTAGGTTCATTCTTACACTTTTTAAACAATTATTAACCGCTTATGTACAGGATCTCGGACAAAGATTAATATTCATCACGATAAACATCAATAAAGTATCAATGGTAATTGTGTTGTTGTTTATGACAAAGTCGGATAACCGTTGTGGAAATCAAAAAGTCTTTGGATTTTCTTGATTTTTTCTGGAAGATGTCCCAAATTATATGTAACTTATATAAGAAGTAAGTAAGTAACGCATTGCACATCTGTTATATGAAATTGGCATTTTGCAACAATATAATTATGTTATGAAATTATATGATAAATATGCAAAAGTAGTGGAAGGAGCAAATTGATTTAATGACATCTTTCCAAATGACAGATCTGCCTGTTATGCATTGATGATTACTTAAATTACCTTCGGAGGAAAAGGAAAGTTTATAGCGAAGATTAAATTTAACTTCATCTGCGAATGACCGCAAATTAGGCTAAGCTGTAGTACTATGCTGTTCTAATCCCTGTATAGCAACTGTGTCGCCACTTATTCTCGATATTTGTCGTTAAACTATTTCGTTCCGCTTAAGATTTCAAATTCTTGCGTTTTATCATCTAAACTTCTTAATTATCATCTAATCACACTGTGGAAAACATTTGTTTTTAATTGTTTGTATATTGCCAAAAAGTTAATAAATCTTATGTTCGTATCATTTAGAATTTCGCATCATTTATTTTGGGAAGAAACTTGAAAAAGTTGAAAGAAATTAGTGATTGATTATATTTTGATTAAAACAACCGGCTTTTAGAGAAGTGCCGAATGGACGGGTGTACTTGCTAAGAGGACACATATGTCAGGTTCCCTTTTTCATTCGATTTAATCTTTAAAAACTGATTAATTTTCTGATATTCTTTTGAAAATATCCATAAATTTATTGTCATTTACTGTTTGCAATAAACCAATATTAATTCGAAAATAAGCCTTGTTTACTTGGCCTATTTCTTTTAAATATACTAATTGTAGTAAGTAGTAATCGTAGAAATCGAAAGTCGTATGTAGTAGTCGTAGTATGTAGTAGTAGTCGTAGTAGTCGTATGTAGTAGTCGAAAGTTCAGAGATTTGGAAATGAAATGTTTTGAACTTTTTGTGAAGTGGACTTATAACTGATTTAAATTATCCTCATCGATATTTGTAATTTTGCAGCTTAAGATCATGAAATCATTGGATGTGCCCACAGTCTATTAACATTTCAAAACAATTTCGGAATAAAGAACGAAACCGTGTGATGGAAATGTATACATCAGTGCCGAAAGAATATCAGGAACCGGAACCAGATTATGTTAGTTTTTCTTTGTTAAATTTTGGTATATTCCTTTAGAATGAATGAGCAAAGAAATTTCATGAATACTCGTTCTTATAGCTCTAGGAAATTCATTATTTCTCCTGAACTTTCCTCTCGATATTGTTTTGATTAATTCCCACAATTTTTCACATTTCAGTGACTGATAATTCATCAAGAGAGTTCTCGATAGTAATAGTAAAATTTCCCTCCAAGATTCCATTCTTTGATTAAAAAATTACCGAAGTTTGAAAATGAAAGATAATTCATTTCTGTAATTTTAATATATATATCTGTTAATTATAATGTTGGACGGCTACACTTGTAACTAACAGTCTCAAGATCTTTTGATTGAAAACGATGCGACTGTCCTTGTAGGGAGTATTTAAATTCATTTGCAATTTTTTATTTGCTTTTTTTTTTATTTTACTTCTTTTGGCTATTAAAATATTGAACAATTATAAAAAAGACAACATTTTACAAAAAAACTCAAGGCATATTATATAAATAACAATTTTGAAAAATATTGAAATTAAAGGGACTGAGAAGAGGGGTAAAGTTGTTTTTTGATTTTCCTTACACTTTTTTAAATATCTATTTTTTATATGTTCCCATGAATTTTACAAAATTGACGATTTACGTAAAGATTACCAATAATTTCATGATAACAGTATGATTTTCGTTTATATCTGGAAACAGATAATTTGTTATATCTCTCATATTACTCTTTGTTGACCATAGTATTATGAAGTACATTTTGAGGGATAACAATCTATAACAAATTGAACTCAAATTCCGAGTCAAATCTGAATCAATAAGATGGATTTGTCACAGCACTTAATATCTACTGTTACGTAAAGCTTCTTGTTAATGGTGAAGTGTTATGACTGATGGCGCTGATAACGAAGTATTATGGACGCTTTTTACATGGCTTATCGACGGTAACTGCGATGGTAACAGCAAAATTATTGAATTTATGAAGATTAAAGGAAATGAAATGATTATTTCAATTATTTTTGGTATAAAGTAATCATTATCAGCACTTCTTTTTTGTTCATGCACTTGGTAACGGTGATAATAAGGAATGGTTGGATTTTTCAAAATGTGAGTATCAAAAATTTTGAAATCCATATTCCACTTAATAACATCTGTAAAACTTGGATAGAAGTTACTTTCAAGCCTTTTTCAAATAAACTAGAAAGTACGACTTAATCACAAGTATTCATCAATTAATCTGCAGATCACCACAAAATATATGTATTTAGAATATATACACGCCATTAAGACTACTTTTAAACTTTGTGGTAGTTCAAGATTAAAATTTCTGATGCCATAAATTATCATATCTTTGCAGATGAGTATTTGCACACATGAATTCAAAATCACTAATGAATTAACATAAGTAAAGCTATAATAAGTCAGATTAGCATGCTGCACTGCATGTGTGTTATCAGTACAAAAAAGACATCTATCTATCATTGTTATCTATCACAACATTATCTACTAATTTTATTCTACGCCATATTTCCAGCGGCTGATACTGTACTGAAATATGGTATTTTTGATTTTGATATCGTTGTCACGTGTGAGATTTAAGTTCTGATCAGCTAACAACGCGACTAGCTTCCTAATTCGACCTCTAACTTTATTAATTAATTTCAAGCATTCTATTTATTCTGTTCCTCAGATCAGTTATCATTATTGAACATCTGTTTGATAAAGAATCAGAAACAAAGACTGCCCAGCAATGTCCTCCTGTAACAGATACTATGCCCGGAAATTCCGTCTTGATTGTCTATTTGTCTATGAAAGGGACAGACAGACACATACATACCCATAGAGAGACTTTCCCGTTTTATCAGATTACGCTTCATCTGTTTCTCTGACAAATGTAGGTAAGAATAAAGTCGAAACTTCTCAAAAAATTTCAAAGGAAAAGGAGGAATCAGAGGTTTTATTTATGCATAGTTTGCTCATCCTGTCCATATAAAACACTTCATTTATAATTTGTTTCAAATTTCAAAAGTTTCTAATTTTAAACTGTCTGCTGAGCTTTTGAAATATGTTAAAATACTAGTGACCTATGACAACTTTAAGTATTTTCTAATATAAACTACTTTATTCAGAAGTACTTTTGTAATTTTTTTTGCTTTTAAAGGTAAACACTTATCCTAAATCTATCTTCGTTCACAAATTCTGCAAAAAGATGCAATATTTTCGGCTTGATTCTTCAACATTGCTAATTCTAGCTTCTCAACTAAGTTTCTAGTATGATATGTTTCAAATGAGTCTCCTACCGCAGTCGACAATTGATATAATTATTGTCCATCTAATTAGATTCCTCTCTTTTTGTTTCAGTGTCATTTCCCCCTACATATCATTTACCACTCAATTCCTCTCACCATAACATAAATTTACATTTGCCCCTTACTTATTGTATGGAGATTAAAGTAGAAAAGTACTGCTGGAAAAAAATTAATTTCTTTCACTGTTTATAAATGTTTTTAAGTTCTCAATTCCAGATCATAATGATTATAATATCAAGTTCTAGCCATGTAATAGGCATAGTATAGAAATCCACTTAACGATGTTTCCTTTGCTCTAGAAGTTTCTTCCTCCGAAATCTTATTCAGTTACCCTTCGTTAATTATAGCATAACTGTTTCCTAAATAAAAAAAGAGAATAATAATAATAATAATAATAATTCACTCTTTACTTTTATTATTTATAATTTATTTCATTCTAAAGCACTTGAGAAAATGTATTGCAAAATTATGAAAGGTAAAACAAAGTAAATCAGTTCCTTACCTTACCTTATAGATTGAAAGTTAAGCCTCAGTACTGTGTATTTCACACTTTCTTCTTCATTATTTTTTCTTTTTTCTTTTTTCACTAAAATGACCATTTGGAAAATTTTTGAACAATTGCAGTGTCGCTTTGTTACTTACTTGATTGCCCCCTACTTTTTTCATATGTCCAACATGTGAGTGAATTTAATTTTAATTGCATTTTTACTTTTTAAAATACATATCTCATTTTCTCCATATTATTTATTTCCAAATTCATTATTCATAGTCATTCCTTCCCGTTTATGCAACCGAAAATTTCGATCTCAACATTCTGTATACCAGAATATCAGATATAGATGTTGGGAATTGACACAATACTTTGTTCATATCAGGAAAAATGAGATTTAAGAAACCGCAAAAAAACTCTCAGAATAGATAATTGGAATAATTTTTGTCAGTTTGGAATTTATCGTTTGTGATCAATATGACATCTCCCTGATAAAAATTAAATCAATAAATTGTTTTTCAGATGATTTCCACTCAGTGTAGTGTATGTATGAATCATACTTTTTCTTACCACGACGAATTAACCTTCAATGAATTTGTCGTTAAGTGAATTGATGACAGTTGTTAGAATCATTTTTTCATCTATTTTTGATACTTCCGCGACATATCAACTGCATTAACAAGAAATCACGAATCGCCGCTCCCTGTCGATTCTATTTTTTTATTTCTCTTCACTACCACTGCAAGAAAGTTTAAAATATTTGAAAGTTCCCTTAGGTATTATAAAGAATTGGAGGGACTTCTACTTTATACTAAGGTCCTTTTAATTTTTCAACAGTGTTTGAAATTTTTTATTTTTTTAAGACTTAGGTTGTTGTTAAGCTTTTTTTTTCAATAATAAAATATTCAAACTTTATCTTTAAAAGATAAATGCAGTAATGTTCGTTTCCTAATATTTTGCATTTTTATTGTTTTTTACTGGAAGTTTTTACGTCAACATTCAAAATGTCGTCTTTGATGACTCATAACTTCGAGGGGAAATTTCATTTGTTTATTAAATATCATAAATAGAGGCCTTGATGCAATCAGCAACATGCCTATATTATCTTACAAACAAAGAAATTACTTGCCTTATCAACTTTTTTTACTTCTAAACTATTTTTGTTGAAATTCCACAAATCGTTATCACAGAATTTAATGTCTCATCACATAACTTTATTACCAGTTGTCTTCCCTCTTTCCTTTCAAATTATTTCTTTCATCATTCCACTAATCTGAACTATTGTAATTATCACTTCGATAGGTTCAAGTTCGCTTCTGCAATGTTAAGTAAAATAGAAATAGAAATGAGTAGAAAGTAGAAATGTATCAGGGATGTTTGATATATATATTTTATCTATTTATTCACTTTATCAGTTAAAGTATTTTATTTTTTATTTTTTATTTATTCTTTGACAATTGCAAAAGTGAACATCGAAACAACCAACACTCTCCGATCCTGAAAACCTTTTCTGGCTTATTTTTCCTGAATAATTGAGAAATAACTCATTTGTTGAGGAAAAGCGTATTTTTAATATTCCAAATTGTTGAGTCATTTTCTCCATACTACACTCTATGAAACATGTTTTCTAGTTACTCTCATTAATCTGAAATGCTCAAAGTTCAAGCGGAATTTTAATACGATTTCATTAATTACCAGCTGATCGATGATGCAAATGCGATTATCAAGAACATATCATATTTGTTTAAATATGAGCAGCACCATATTAGCAAGATGATAATAATGATCTGCAGAAGGGAGAAAAGGTCAAGAAAGACTGATGTTTTGGATTATATGATTTACAGGAGTTAAAAGATATTGTGATTAAATTGATGGCTTCACCAGATTTATTGAATTGTGAATTCTATAAGCAACCAATTCATGATGGCGATTTACAGAGCATTGTATTAATAAGACAGTATCAAAGCAATCATTGACTTGGTCTTGTTTTCACCAGTATACATCCTGAATTTCATTTACATTCCGGAAACAACTATCATTTCCTCCTATTGCCTAGAAGGTAATTAATTGGAAATATTGGTTAGTAAAAGTTGAAAATAAAATAAAAGGTAACATTTCGGGTCAAATTATGAGAGTAGGATGGTCTTTATTTCGGATGACAGCATCCTTTTCTTTTTCGGACATCATTCGAATGTTTTGTTTTC